TAGCAATACTTGTATCTGACAAAATAGACCTCAAAATGAAGGCCATAACAAGAGATAATGATGACCACTTCATAATACTAAAGGAATCAATACAATAAGAGGCTATAACTCTGGCAAACATATATGTACCCAATACAGGAGCATCCAAATACATTAAAAGACTTCAGGAAGTTATCAAGGGAGATATAGCAATGCAATCATAGTAGGAGACTTTAATACCCCATTGACATCACTGGATAAATCTTCTAGACAAAATATCAATAAGGAAACAGAAATCCTAAATCACACACTAGATCAGATGGAACTAATTGACATCTTCAGAACATTTCACCCCAAAGCTACGGAATATACATTTTTCTCAAGTGCACATGAGACATTTTCAAAGGTAGACCACATGTTAGGACACAGGCTAAGTCTCTACAAATTCAAGAAGATTGAAATCATATCAGCCATCTTCTAGATCACAATGCCATAAAATTAGATATAAACTACAATAAAAGCATTCAAAAAAATCAAACACATGAAGGCTAAACAGCATGCTATTAAACAATGACTGGGTTACCAAAGAGATAAAAGAAGAAGCAAAAAAACATACTGGAAACAAATGACAATGAAAACACAACAATCCAAAATCTATGGGACACAGTGAAAGCAATCCCGAGAAGGCTGTTAATATCACTACAGGGCTACCTCAAAAATCAAGAAAAAGCTGTAATAAGTTACTAACCCAACAACTTAAAGAATTAGAAAGAGAGAAACAATAAAAGCCCAGAGTAAGTAGAAGGAAAGAAATAAGAAAGATCAGAGCATAAATAAATGACATAGAGACCAAAGAAAACAATACAAAAGAACAATAAAACCAAGAGATGGTTCTTTGAAAGCATAAACAAGATTGATGAACTTCTAGCTAGACTCAATAAGAAACAAAGAGAAAGGACCCAAATAAACAAAATCAGAAACAAAAGAGGTCAAGTAACAACTGACTACACAGCAATATAGAGTCATAAAAAATACTATGAACAACTCTATTGCAACAAACTGACAACCTTTACAAAATAGACATATTCCTAGAAAAATACAATCTTCTAAAACTCAATCAGAAAGAATCAGAAAACCTGAATAGGCAGATAACTGCTGATGAAACTGAAGCAGTGATAAAAAAAAAATTACAGCAAAAAAACGCCCTGATCCAGATGGCTTCACAGGAGAGTTTTACCCAACATTCAAAGAACTAACACCTATACTCTCCAAACTATTCTATAAAATCCAAGAGGAAGGAACACATCCAAGCTCTTTTTATGAGGCCAGCATTACTCTAATTCCAAAACCAGATAAAGACACTATAAAGAAGAGCATTACAGGCCAATATTTTTGCTGAACATAGATCCTAAAATTCTCAACAAAATATTAGCAAATCCAGCAATATATTTAAAAAAATACACCATGACCAAGTGGGATTTATTCCAGAGATGCAAGTATGGTACATTATTTGCAAATAAAAGACTCCATAAAAAATGACTACTAGATTTAATAAGCGAATTTGACAACATAGCAGGATACAAATTTAACAACCAGAAATCTATGGCATTTTTATACACCAACAATGAACTGACAGAAAGAGAAACTAAGAAAACAATCCCATTTTCCACTACAAAAAAAAAAATAAGGAATAAACTTAACCAAGGAGGTAAAACCTTTACTCCAAAAACTACAGAATGTTGAAAAAAGAAATAGAGGAAGATATAAACAAGTGGAAGAATATACCATGTTCATGGATTGGTAAAATCAACGTCATTAAAATATCCATACTACCCAAGGCAATCTACAGATTCAATGCAATCCCTATTAAAATACCAACGGCATATTTCACAGACCTAGAAAAAAAAAACTATCCAAAAACTTATATGGAATAAAAAAAGACCCCAAATAGCTGTAGTTATCTTGAGAAAAAAGAATAAAGTTGGAGGATCGCAATACCAGATATCAAGTTATACTACAGAGCCACTGTACTCAAAACAGCCTGGTACTATCACAAGAACAGGCATATGGACCAATGGAACAGAACAGAGAACCCAGAAATCAACCCAAGCCATTATGCTCAATTCATTTTTGACAAAGGAGACAAGAGCATACAATAGAGGAAAGACAGTCTCTTCAATAAATGGTATTGGGAAATTAGCAGATACATGCAAAAAAAAAAATGAAACTGGACCACCAACTTACACCATACACAAAAATAAACTCAAAATGGATAAAATATTTAAATCTAAGACATGTAACCATAGAAATCTTAAAAGAATCCATAGGCAGCAAAATGTCAGACATCTCTGATAGTGATATATTTACCAATACGTCTCCCAGGACAATGGAAATTAAGGAGAAAATAAACAAATGGGACTACATCAAAATAAAAAGCTTCTGTACAGCAATAGAAACCATCAACAAAACAACAAGAAAGCCCACTGCATGAGAGAACATATTTGCCAGTGATCATCTGATAAGGGGTTAATCTCCAAAATTTATAGGGAACTCATGCAATTTAATGAAAGGAAGATAAACAATCCAATCAAAAAATGGGCAAAGGACCTAAATAGACACTTTTTGAAAGTAGACGTACAGAAGGCTAAGAGACATATGAAAACATGCTCATCCAAGAGATGCAAATCAAAACAACAATGAGGTGCTACTTCATACCTGTTAGAATGGCTATCATCAACAAATCAACAAATTACAAATGTTGGCAAAGATGTGGAGAAAAGGAACCCTTGTGCACTGCTGGTGGGAATGCAGACTGGTGCAGCCACTGTGGAAAACAGTATGGAGTTTCCTCAAAAAATTAAAAATGGAACTCCCATTTGACTGTCATGAAGGATAGTTTGACCCAGTGACCCCATTTCTAGGAATATATCCCAGGAAATCAGAAACACCAATCAGAAAGAATATATGCAACCCTATGTTCATAGCAGCACAATTTACAATAGCTAAGATTTTGGAAACAGCCTAAGTGCCCATCAGCAGATGAATGTATTAAAACACAGTGGTACATCTACACAATGGAATACTATGCTACAAAAAGAAAATAAGGAACTTTTACCATTTGCAACAGTGTGGATAGAACTGGAGAGCATTATGCTATGCGAAATAGCCAGTTGGAGAAATATAAACATGATCTAATTCATATCCTATAATAAATGCCTAATATGCTAAGTGTCCGTCTGGTCCTCCGTTCAACCAATCAAAGCGTAATATGCTAAGGCTGCTCAACCGCTCGCTGTGACGTGCAATGACAACCAGGGGCAGACAGTTGACCAGTCGACAAGTCACTATGCTGTGCACTGACCACCAAGGGGCAGATGCTTCAACTAGTAGGTTAACTTACTGCTGGGGTCCAGCCGATTGGGACTGAGCGAGATGGGCCAGACATGCCCTGGACCCCTCCCATGGTCCCTCCCTGGCTGGCCAACCTCCCGCACCCCTCCCCGGCTCCAGTTGTGCACCGATGGGATCCCTTGGCTTGGTCTGCACCCTCTCGCAATCTGGGAGCCCTGGGGGGATGTTAGCCTGTTTTGGCCTGATCCTGCAGGCCAGGCCGAGGGACCCCACTGGTGCATGAATTTGTTCACCAGGCCTCTAGTGTAGGATATACAGTAATGAAAAATGTAAACTGATGAACAAAAGTAGATCCAGAGACATAGAAGCATTGACAGACTGTCAAACCTCAGAGGGAATGCCTCAGAGGGGAGGGTGGGTGGTTGGGAAGAGATCAACTAATGAACTTGTATGCATATATGCATAACCAGTGGGCATAGACAATAGGGGGATGGAGACCTGGGCTATGGGGCGTGGGCAGGCTGGGAGAGGTCAATGGGGGAAAACAGGGACATATGCAATGCCTTCAACGATAAAGAATAAAAAGATAAATAAATAACTTAATTTTTAAAAAAAAGAAAAGAGGAGACAGGGACCACATTGCCAACATGCTAAAGTTATGTGTCCAGGAAGGAGGCTTTGTTTATTCTGAAGTTGGTAGACAGGTATAATTAAATTTTAGTGGGAATTTTTTTCTGGACATTAAAGATTAGACCCAGAAGTCAAATAATAGGAGGCTTCTGTTAAGTGGGTTGTAAGTGTAAGTACAGCAGGAGCCAAGCAGATAGCACAAGAGAAGAAACTGAGTCACAGTGAGTTGGGAAGCAAATGGAAATGAGTGTGGATTTGTATTTGCAAAGTCTGTTAGAAATAGAGCAGTAGTTAGATTGAGATAGAACCTTTGAAGGGTTTTCTATCTTTACAATGAGGGTGAATCAAGTATCCTTATAATATTAAAGAATTTGTAGGTAGGGAGAGATTATATATATATATAAAACATATATATATATGAAATTTTAGAAAAACGTCTCATGAGACAGAAGGCATTGTAGTTGAGAATGTGGAAGGATGACTTTTGAACAGGAAGAAAGGAAGGAGTAATGAAGAATGTTGATGCATCTAAGTACACATTTTAAAAGTAATTTGAAAGAGTTCTGGTTTTCTGGCCTGCACTTTCTAGAAGTGGCCTCATTTTTACTACAGCAGAGGGTCAAGATCAGAACTACATGCAGGTGGTAGTTCAGGATTAGCTGCAGTGGAGGAATGGTAGAGAAAATCAGTGATATACCAGTGTTTTCCAAAGGGCTCTCTGTTGATATGAGAAAGCCGAGTGGCCCTAGTGCTGTCCTCCCACAGCCTAGGGAAAGGAGGAAAGCAGGTGGGAGGTGGATAGATGCGAGGCGGCTGGTTTGCAAGCCAGGTAAAAGTTGGAGGAGATGGAATTTGTGATCAGACATTGGGATTTTGGAATTCTCTTTGGAAGTGGGCCAGCTCCAGGTGCTGACAATGGAATTAGGTGGTGGAACAGAAATGCCGGTGAATGTCAATTAATAATTACTGTAGATTATCAGAGATTCTTAAATGCATAAGTTCTTTGATACCATGAACAAATATGTGCATTTATTTTCTAGTGAGAATGAACACGGTATGTGGACAGCCGATGACGCCTACCTTAGCGATGATGAGCTTGCAGGGCCGTCGCAAGCTGTACCCCCGACTGGGCATGGTATGTCTGCGCCCTGTTCTGTTGCAGGTTCTTGAGCAGGCTGGTTTCAGCGCCGTGCACAAAGGCTTTTCTAACACAAATGCAGGAGAGAGCTAGGCAGACCTTTTAAAATGGGAAAACATATTTTGGGGGATTTTCTTGCTGCACACTCCACATTCATAAGGGTGAATTTCTATTCTTTCTTTAAATATTTTAATATATAAAACATGATATTAAAATGAGCTATTTTATATTTTCTTAAACTAGCAATTATAGATTTGTATAGACTTGAATATGACCTTCCTCATCCACCTAATGTTAATTTGTTGCATAGTATGTACTTTGTAAATAAAATAATAATTTTGGATTACACATAATCACATATTGTGGAGAATAAAGAAAATATAAGCATGTATAATAAAATAACAATACTGAAGAATATTCCAAGTTGTTGCATAGTATGTACTTTGTAAATAAAATAATAATTTTGGATTACACATAATCACATATTGTGGAGAATAAAGAAAATATAAGCATGTATAATAAAATAACAATACTGAAGAATATTCCAAGTATTTTCTTTATATATATATTTA